TAAAACCATGTCAGCCTCTAAATCTGGCATTTCAAGGTGTCCTAGAAGTGAGACCGTGTTGTATTACTGTCATACGTACCTTTTCACCAAATGACAAAAAGATTTGTGTTCTGCGAAACTTGTGGTGGTACTGCATGTTGTAATTCTAACTTACGGTAATATCATACAGCAATGATAAAAGACTTCAGGCAACACGCCACAAACCATCCCGGGGGTTCGTCGGCATTCGAACTCAGTGATTGCACAAAGTGACAGACTTGGAGTGAGCGGTGCGAGGTGCTGTGCTACGGAGCGCAGCGGGAATGCCGCACGTCCCCCAGCACTGTATGCTGAAGTCCTTGGGCTGCTGCAGACACTACCCATGGTCATACAAACTTTCCAAAAAGTTATATAAAACAATGGAATGCAGGAAAAAAACCCCAGCCAACCAAAGTTAGCTATTTACTGTCTATATAAAGTCAAGTAAGCATCTTACTCCTTTTAAAAATACACAGTTAATAAAGGAGGAAATAGATGGCTAAATAATAGATGGCTAAAGTTGAGGAAATAAAAGTCCTTTCCTCATCATTAGTTAATGCTTGATTGCAGCTATTGAATTAGCTTACATGATTTTTGCTTTCATTAAAACATGTTCTAAATAGCTCTCTAGTTTTACAAGTCTTCCGTTACAATGGCGTAAGCAGGAAAAAGATGTAGATGTGCTCTTCCATCTCATGAAATCTCTTGACGAACGTTATTATGTAATTCTGATTACATTATAAGTAAACTTATTCTTCCTACACTTTTACTGTACTGAGTCCTGTTAAGGACGGCTACAAGACATGGCAAAACACAGAAGGAAGTTTGTTTTCTGGAGTCGAAAGAGTAAAAAAATAGTCTAACTGCTGACAGTTAGAGGTGTTAAGAGTACTTCTGAAATCTGCGGAGGACAGAAGTAGGGGAAGTGACCCAGTGCTGGCTTCTGTGATGGTGTTGTGGAAGATCTTGAGCGGGACAACTGTGAGCTGGGAATATGAGTTAGGAATTCAGAGGATTCTCGGGAGCAGTCAGGATTAGGATCTGGGTTGATCGAGCGTGAGGGAGAGCTGTACTTAGGGGTTTTGGTAAATGCGAGTTCTGGGGCGGGAGGAAGGGCCAGCTTTCAGGTAGGAGCAGCAGGGCATAGGCGGTTTGGATACAGAGACCTGAGATTTTGCACACAGAGGGAGTACAAGACAAGGGAGGCTGTGATGCAAGACTCTTCGAAACTGCTGGGCAGGAACTCTTTTTTTTGGACTGCTGCCTCTCCCCTTATTCTTTACCTATTTTTTTGCTGTTGGAATATGCAGCCTAACCTCTCTCCCATTCACTCTGTACCAGGGTGACCTGCTGTCCCAGATACGCTGCCAGATATGCTATCAGATACACAGTCCCAGATAAGCATGCCATGCTGTAGCTCACTTTATGCGGTTATAGTACGGGAGTTTGTCCTCCCTGGATACACTCAGGCAATCTGCTGAGCACTGAAATTGCTGATGCAAATTTAGCTGTCTTCATTGGGAGTCCTCAAGCTTCGGTTTTAGAGTGGAGGGTCTCAGGAGCTGCAAGGTCATTACATGGGACTGCCTTATTCCCAAAAGTTTCCCTAGGCTTTGAGCCTTGCTTGCAGCTAAGATACTTCTCATTAAATTTAAGACCTTTTCCTAGCTGCCCTGGCCTTCCTTTGAAGCCAATGGAAAAGGGAAAGCACCCATTGAGGGCAAAAAAGCTTTTAAAGGGGAATTCATTCCTAAGATCTCTCTTTGGAAAAGCAAATGGGAAGAGAACTGACATACCAATTCAATTTTTCCTATTAGTCACATCCTCTTCCTGCTTTTCTGTAGCACCGAACTTTGGAGTCAGTAACTTGATGTTAATGTGTGTATTTGTTTTGTGGTCCTGGAGATGAACTGTCCAGCCATCTCATGTGCTCGTGCTTGTCTTGCCCTTCTTCGGTGATCAGCTGAGATACAAGATCATCTGTTACAGAGCATAAAAGAAAATTATTTTCCTTTTATCAAAGTGATAGAGCTGTGGTGTTTTGGAAATGAAGGTCAATAATTTTGTTCCTAAGCTTGTAGGATGTCATTAAAAAGCCAGCATTTACCAATGTCACATGTGGTGTGTGTTTTGTAGCGTTGTTGACAAGCATGGAAGTTCTTTGAGCAACAGATAATGACATTTGAGAGCAACTTCCCCATGTAACTTTAGGATCTATGGCATTTTGGTTCTGGACCATGGTGATAGCAAGGTCATCATTTTTACCATGCATTGACACATTTATCCTAGAAGATAACTTTGAGTGTATATCTTAGAAATAAAAACTAATCATGTCTTTTTATCAGGAAAATTTCAACGTATTAATCAAATGGATGTGAAATTGCTTTTACAACCTAATCTATGTAACATTTATTTTGCTACAGTCCTATGAATCAATTGCTCTCCTCTGATAAATGAAAAATTATTTAACTATCAGGTAATGTCCAAAGTCTTCCATCAAAACTCAGCTGCTTAGTAGTACCATGGAATACTGGGCTTCTTTCC